CACAGAAAGATGCATCTTGCCAGCTGCATAGCTGCCAAAAATTCTTTCCAGAGAGAATTTGATGCCGAGACCCAGTTACTCTATTATGGCACACATTATAGAAGAGCTACACAGGGCTAAGAGGGTCACTGAGATGTTACCTTTAACCCCATTGGTTTATTGTTATTATTTTTTTTAAGCATACGGTTATTTATTGAAAGTATTATATCAACAATACAAATGGTTTAATTTTTATATATGTTCATATATATGTTCATAAAGGTTAGCAAATATACCTAAAGATCTAATTATCATTGATTTGATGGGCAATTTGCCCAACATTCACCCATTTTCAGCCAAGGCTGAAATTTGCACACTCATATTTATCACAATCATTTTTACCAATTTTTAGAGGAGATTCACACTAAATTATTAACATATTGTCTACTACAATGCAGGCATTCGCTTCATCAGCTACATGCATAATAAAAAGTAATGCAGGCCGAAATTGTGGTTGAATCTTTTTGCGTGAATACTTACTATGCAAACTGCCCAGTTAATCTTTGTTAATTAGACCCCTTTTCATTATCTTGGTAATGGTTGTGTTATTGACTTTAGTAAGTTATGCAGCTTTTGAGATAAACAGTTAAAATATTTCCTACTGTTAATCCTCAGGTAATGAGGTGGAGGAACGGACGGGGGAGGGCGGGGCACAGCTGGCTCTGCCTCTAGATAGGCAGAGCCAGCTGTCACTCATGCAGCTGGGTGGATCCAAACAGAATTGTCTGGATCCGTCCCAGCTGCGGCGCTCTCAGTATATTGCAGGCAATAGCCCGCTATATACTGAGCTTTGAGTCAGGGGGGAAGGTTAGTATATGTCCTCCTGTGACCCTAAAGAGAACTATGGGGAAAAACACTTACCCCACAGTTCTGTTTTAAACCTGATGATTAAGGTTGGATTCACACCTAGCATCGCGTTCAGCGTGCTTGGCATTTGCACACATTTGTTCTGTGCGTTTGCCACACTTAATTTCAATGGGTTCAAACACGAAAAGTAGTGCATGTAGCAAAATCGGCGACATTAGTTGCGTGTTTTTTTATATATATATTACTGTTCAAGCTAAATAGATGGATAGAAAGAAAGAGAGATAGATCAAAAGATAGATAGACAGACAGACAGACAGACAGATAGATAGATAGATAGATAGATAGATAGATAGATAGATAGATAGATAGATAGATATGGCGAGTGGCAAAGAAGCACCAAAACGGAAGCAGATTTTTCATATTTAAAATAACAATGTTCCCCAACTACATAATGACACATACAAAATAAAATCCAGCACTTTTTTTTTTCCTTTCCTGACATAAATATACAATTGTTTTATTATCTGGGTATGTAATGCCCTCTTGTGGCTTTTCATAAAATTCTAACATCAGTTGGTTTTTAGCTCACAGCAAAATGCAACAAGGGAGGATGAGCGATCCTCATAAACCATGAAAGGTCAAAGGGAGTTAGCAAGCTGCTGAAGATAATATACAGGCAGGCATATGGATTTACTGCTATCTATTTCTCTGCTTTTTATATAGACACTAAAAGACACCCTCAGATTTATGAAGGAATTATCATCATCTTAAATGGAGATAGATGAGAAAAATTTTAACTCCGCCAGGTCAGCGGTGTGACACACAGTACAGAAGTCAGCAGCGCAGAGGTCAGCGTGACGCATAGTGTGGTGGTCAGAGTGACGCACAGCGCAGTGGTCAGAGTGACGCACAGAGTCAGTGTGACGCATAGGGCAAGGTCAGAGTGACGCACAGTCCAGAGTGATGCACAGCGCAGAGTGACGCACAGCGCAGAGATCAGTGTGACGCACAGAGCAGGGTCAGTGTGACGCATAGCGCAGGGTCAGTGTGATTCACAACCCAGGGTCAGTGTGACGCACAGCGCAGATGTCAGAGTGACGCACAGCGCAGAGGTCAGAGTGAGGCACAGTGCAGAGGTCAGCGTGACGCATAGTGCAGTGATCCTCCATGTACCTTCTTTTCCCCTGCTGCATAACTTTCTGGATGGCCGGTCTCACTGTCTCTGCAGTCTTCCTCCCAGCCTGGCAGCTGAGGTGGGCGGAGGAAGCTGCAGAAGACATAACTGAATGTCATCGAGGTGCGCCGCCGGCGGGACCAGAGATGGGACACTACCGCTGCAGCAATTGTTCACTTCTGTTCTCTCTTCTCCTTCTCTGCCGCTTTGTAGCTTCAGCGGCCGGTAAGAAAAGAGAACAGAAGCGGGCAATCGCCGCGGCGGCGGTAGTGTCCCATCCCTGGTCCCACTGGCGGTGCACCTCGATGAGATTCCACTCGCCCCCACGCAATTTTCACTCGCCAATTGCGAGGGGGCGAGTGGAAATTTTGAGGCCTGTATATATATATAAGTTACACATTTTACTTTCTTAGATAGTTGTCCCTGAAACAGGTGTCCCTATGACCGCCTCTTCTTCTATGACAACTGAAAAGTTTTGGATTTCCCATCTTATTGCCAATAGTCACCGGGTCAAATAGTGAGGGTGAATCTACCTTGGTGAGACATAGGCAACCATACATATTCCAAGTGCTCCAAACAGTATAAACATAAACAATAACTAATATAATAGAGATTAAAAAAAAAAAAGCAAAGAAACTAGAGCAACACTGAGGGAGCTATCCTTTGATTTAACCAAACAAATTTCTTTCTGCACTTGAAAATAAAACCAGTTTTCTTACTATAGCCACATAGTCTACATTATTTGTAAATTAACCCTTAGGTGTAGAAGGACCATCCACTGTAGTATAAAGAGAAGCTGCAACTTCTACAGTATTTGCACTGGAGCATTCTGAAACCATGTGAAGCTACATCCTGTTTCCTGCGAGTGCCCAGTGCAAAACACAGAGACTGGAACTCAAGTAATATCCATCACATGTAAGTCTAGGCCTTAAAGTGTATTTCCACTTTTGCAGCCAATTTGGGATAACACCTATTTTATATTTGCAAGGAGCACTGCTTCTGCATGGTTCAGGAAAGGAATGAGCCGGGTGCTTGCTGCTGGTAGCATCTGCTCACTCCAATATGAGCCCATACAAACCGAAAAAAAGCTGGCCGCACACTGGATTCCGCTCGAATAGTTTATTGAAACTTGTACCACATCACTGGTGTCCTCCATCCTCTACTGACTTCTTTCTTTCTTTCATGACATTAAACACCTCCTGCTCTACCCTACCACCACAACAAAATCAAGTCCTACTCTGCCCCTATCGGGCACAATTAGTAATGTCTTTCCTACTGCAATCAGCCACCTCTACGATGCCAATCGCCTCACCACCCACCTGACCCACACATCCCCCCAGTTTTTTCTCCCATGACACTAATCACCTCCTGCTCTGCCCTACCACCACAACGCAACCAACTCTGACTCTTACCCCATCAGGCACAATCAGCAAAGTCTTTCCTAGTGCTATCAGCTACCTCTGTGCCCCACTTCCCATCACCACCCACCTGACCCACACACCCCAGTTTTTCTCCCATGACACTAAACACCTCCTGCCCTGCCCTACCACCACCACGCCACTAACTCTGACTCTTCTCCCATCAGGCACAATCAGCAAAGTCTTTCCTAGTGCTATCAGCTACCTCTGTGCCCCACTTCCCATCACCACCCACCTGACCCACACACCCCAGTTTTTCTCCCATGACACTAAACACCTCCTGCCCTGCCCTACCACCACCACGCAACCAACTCTGACTCTTCTCCCATCAGGCACAATCAGCAATGTTTTTCCTACTGCTATCAGCTACCTCTGTGCCCCCATTCCACTTCTCTCTCTAACCTTCACCAAAAATAGCTTTTGCACTGTCTACCTCTGTCAACAACAGCTTTCACAACAGCTTCCATCATCCACAATCATCAGTAACTAGGTCTTCTTCCACTTCCCACCCTTCCCAGCCTGATCCCCTCTAAAACTGTCCCACAGCTAGTCTCCAATCAGCCATATAATCTCCTTTTCCACCTCCCCAGCCACCGTCAGCCCTCATTCTGACTCTTATACCTCCACCCAAACGCTCCAGTCAGCTTCCACTCTGTCCCCCCCATAATTAGTTCAAGTAAATTGGCACATTCAACAAAATAATATATTGTCTGACTGGGTAGTGTGTACTCAGTGTGTTATCAGTCACTCAAAGACCAAAAAAACAATCATCCTAAATAGATCAGGTCATGAATAGGTTCACATTTTCTGATTGGTTATAACACTATTAAGCTATTAAAGAGCATATAGGTATACTTGAATTTGTCATCCATGTGTATTATGGCCGATAGTTATTCAGAAGAGTGTGAGTTAAGAAATTCTATGATTAACTGTCAACCAACAAGTCTTATAAAAATATATTTCATGTATTCTTATTTTGTGTATAGAGGGGAGCAAATTAAATGTCTAGCAATACATTGCAAGTGACCCTGTGATCAATTTAGGCCTGAAATATATGTGGACTCTAATATAATAAAATAAACATGCTTTTCCTTTCGCAATTTCTACCCTTCTAGCCCTAAATTATAGATGCTTATAAAATAGGAAGCTCAGTTACATAATTTGTGTGCTCTACTCATTTCTGCTGCCCTTCTGCCACAACTGATATATTTTAACATACAGCAGAATAAGCTGAAGTGTTATGCATAAACATTAGCAATAACTATTCTGAAGCTAGCAGCAAAATTGTAAACACGCTCTTTATATATGTAATTTTATTGGACAAGAGAACGTGTTATTTTACATGCTGCTCATACTGGAGTCTTGGAAAGCAGATGCTGCATTTGTCTGCCCTATGATACTTATGAATGCTTTTCATGTTGATGTAATGAAATGTATCACAATGCTATGCACAATACTGGGCACCCAGCAACTTAGGCAAGTGGATGGCTGCTTATCTCATGTTTATCTGTCTGGCGAATATTAATCTTCCAGCTTGCCAAGTACTGATGAGGTTAAGTTAATTATTTGTACTCTTGCAGTAAATCAGAGGAGGCGGTTTTGTCCACTATCCACAATTCTACCATCTCTGCCACCTGTTCATACATCTGCTTGCACAGGAATAGGAGATCACTACTACCAAATGAAGGAAATGCCTTTTTCACAGCATGAGGATGTTGGAGGTGTGCCTTATTTTTTTCGGTAGTGTTGTGTTGCTTTTTATGAATTAGCTCATTTATCACAATGCTGATGGTATAATTTAATCAGTACATTGTTTTGGACTGAATAACACCTTTTCGTAAAGAAGAATTCCACTCTTTGTGGTTGATTTACTAAAGCAACAATACTGATCACTTACCAAAATGACCCTGAACTCAGGAGTTAAATCTTAAAAATGAATTTAAGCGCCTTAACTAATAACAAAAATGTATCTTATTGGCGCATCACTCGGCTGTAAATCATGTTTGTTGTAAAGTAGCCACCACTAAACTCGCTCCTGCAATGGACTACAATCTCAATACAAATTAGCAAACTAAACCTGAGATTGTAGTCCATCACAGGAGCGAGCTTGGAGCAGTGGCAACTTTATAACACACACAGGGACCATGGGGAACAAAAGTAGCTGTGCTGTTACGCAGTTAGTTGTAGGATATCACACAATTCATAGCCAGGGTAGATATTCATATCAATGTGAAGTGAGAATTTTATATAGCTATTTTCCTTAAAGGAGAACTAAGGGGGTCAGGGCTTTTCCCCATAGTTCTCCTTACGGTAACAGGAGGACACAAACTAGCGTCCTCCCGTCACCCTAAGCTCAGTATACCGCGAGCTACAGCTCGCGGTATACTGAGACGCCGCAGCTGAAGTGGATCCCGACAATTATGTCTGGATCCACCCAGCTGCTTGAACGACAGCTGGCACTGCCGTCTAGAGGCAGAGCCAGCTGTACCTGCCCCCTCCCCTGTCCGTTCCGCCAGTCAGCGCTGGAGGATCGGAGCGGGGAGGGGGGAATCCAGCCGTGAGAGGATCGTGAGAGAGCCGTGACAGGATTGAGAAGTGAGCGAACGCCGATATGTGTTCGCTCACTTCCCGATCTACTGAGCCAACCTGTGCCAGTCCCATTGTCACAGGACGGCAAGAACTATGAGCTAAATGAAAAGCACTCATCTCATAGTTCTCCTTTAAGCCTTTATCTGTGGTATTAGTATAGCTGGTTATTATACTGCCATCTTGTGGGCGTTTTGGGTTATTGCACTGTTTTTCTGCATTCCCTCCCTTTGTGTGTAATGTACCGCCCTTCTTCAAGAACTAGTCGATTGCCATAGCTGCATATACCAGGACCACATGTACATTCTAGCTTGGAAACATTATCATCCTTGACTTTCAAATACTGCCAATTCATTCATCTGCTGTATTATGTTGTCTGCTGCAACCTGATGTATAGAATAAAGCACATTTGTGGATGGAAAAGGTATTTGGTGAGTTCAGCTATCTGATAAGGATTGTCCGCAGTGATTATATCTGCTTATATAGGACAGGCATAGAGGTCTCCGCAAGAGATAAATCGCCAATACAACAATAGGAGTCAGAATAGTACTCCACCCTCAAGATGGAAGGACAGTGTCAGCACTAATTCAGAGATGACTTAAGGATCTACAGCGGATTGATGCACAAATAACATACAGTTTTGTTAATAGTTAAAGTACTTGCAGGCATTTTTAAGATTTACCTTCTGAGTTTAGTGTCACTTTAACTGAGCTTAGCAAATAGGATGATGCTGTGTTCACTTTAATAAACCTATCATGTTCTAGCAAACATCCAGTTTTTTTCTTTCTTTCTTGTTTTATTTCCTTCACTTGTCAGTGGGTATTTAAAGTGAACACAGGTACAGCTTATTAACTAGAATGTCCTTTTTAAAGTAAACATGTATTTTGCTAAGTGTATCTGATATGATTCCAATGACAAAATATCTCAAAGGGAAGTAAGGGCACCACACCAATGGTCACAGAGTCCAGAATGGGTTGTAAAGAGATAATTGATAATATATATCGTATCATCTGAACCCCAAAATGCATTGGTGTTTTTTTTATTTTTTTTAATCCATCAGTTATTTCATTAATACCGTTCTTCCCTTACTGCTTTTTACATATTTTGACTTCTCTCGGGACACACTTTTTTTTGGGGGGGTGAGGTAAGCATCTTCACTGGATCCAGATAGCTTAAGCAATGAAACAGTAATTTACAACACTCTGCCAAGCTATTGTATTCTGAAAGCTGGCACCTGCCACTGTTAGAATACTCAAACAGTGCTTTCATCTGATTAAATGCAGGCACTCTTTGGATGAACAATTTCCACCCGGTTCCCTTGACAAAAGTCCATGATTTTAATGTCAGACTGCTCACGAGAGTGTTAGTACTGGATTTGCTTATTAGTTGCTATATTAGTTGCAAGCAAACTAGATAAAAGTGCTTATGGGTTATTGTTATTGATTTCAACAGCATCTTATTTTAAAGTGATATTAAAGTCAAAGTTTTTTAAGCGATTTCAAATGCTGATGAAATCACTTACAATGGATGCTGCTTCTTGATGTTTAAAAGTTTCCTGTTCCCTGCTTCTTCTTCCTCCCTTCGCCAAACCTTTGGGGAAATATTCGGGGTCTAAACAGACCCCTGTCATTTCACCTTTTAAAATAGAAAAAGAAATTGAGGACACAGAGACCTTCATTCTTTTTCTGCAGCCTCAGCACTCAGTGAATGGAAGCACTCAGTACAGAGCAAAGGCTTCCCATTCATTCAGAAACTGATGATAGTTAAATATTTACTATCAAGCAGTTTGTGAATGGGGAGGAGCCTCTATAGTGAGTGCTACTCACCATTCATAAAATCATGAATGAACAGGAAGTGATGTCAGTCACATCCTGTTCATTCATAACTGGGGACACATATTACTACGTGTCCCCAGTTATTTACAAACACTGGAGTGATCAGACAATCACTCCAGTGTTTGCTCTGCACAGAGGATCGATAAATATCACTGATATCTACTGATCCTCCGCTCATCCACGCACAGAGCCGCTGTCATCCTGGAACTGACAGAATGACAGCGGCTCCGCTCTCTTCACCGCTCGTCCTTCCTGAAAGCTGCGGCTTCTCTTCTCCCTACCGCTCGGCCATCCTGACAGCAGCCATCGCTCCCTCCTGCGCCGCCTTCCCCCGGCCCCGCCCGCAGGCTTCAGCGGACAGTTTCTCTTCGGAATCCAAGGACAGCGCTGAAGGGGGGGAGGCGGATGGCCGAGTGGTGAGGAGTTGAGTAGTCGCAGGCTGTAGCTGCCCCGAGGACGAGCTATGTCGGCGGCCAGGTGCCCTTGTTTCCATGGCGCTGGAACACCCCAAAGGCCGGCCCTGATTATGGCTGGGCAATGTATATTTGTTTGATCTGGATTCATGATTGAAAAAAAGGTTTAAAGTTTAATCCTACCATAAGACAATACCTTGGTTTTTAAATTTCGTCTTTAAACCCTGTAAATGAGTACCAATTATGACTCTTAATCAGCATCTTCAAAATAGAAGCATACAGCTGATTATATTAAAAGTTGATCTGCCCCGGATGTAATGGTTTTAGGATAAGCTGTACAATTATAGTTGTTTTTGAGTCCTTTCCGTTGATTCTATTTTAAGCTAAATAATGTCTTCTCTTATTCCTTTTTTGATTTGGCCCTTTTGAATTTAGCTATAAATTAATTATACTACAAAGTTTATATCTTTTTTTTACATGGACATAGATTAAAACTAATCTGTTAAATATGTGGTTATGTGACTAACAGTCTCTGTTTAGTGGCCCAACCTATTACTCCCAGTATGATCTTGGGATTGTTCCTGTCCTTGATATTTGTACTATGATGAGATCCCCAGAAGCTACCACATAAACATTTTAGCAATTATATAAATTCTTCTGGCAAAATGAAAATATTGAAATAAAAATGACCAAATAGTACAATGTGCATTTACCTTCTGCTTCCTCTCAGGGTCTTCTCCATGTTGAGGATTCCTCGCATCTTGTACAGGAACCACTTATCAATAGCTGTCAGTTTGTAGATTTCATCTAAGGGAATTCCACTTTCTATTGCCTGATATAAAACATATAATATTACTGTTAGGAAAAATGCCATTTCTTATACATTATATGAATAGCTACTTGTATTGGCTATTGCCGATATATGAATTATGTAGTTGAACTTCATATTAATATAAAATATATGTCTGTCTCACTCCCATACATTCTTATATATCTCTTTTTATTTTTAAATTGTTTATTTTCTTATTTTATAATTTTCACTTCTCTGTACTGATCTTTGATCTTCACCTTGGCCATGCTGTACATACGGGTGCTGGTGGGTTCAGCCATCTCTTTCCTCAGGTTGGTATCTGCTGGCCATGTTTTGTTCATTGGAAGGTTTGCTGTAAAGCCATCTACTGATGGGTGACACATTCTCAGGGCTTTCTGAAAGCTTTCCTCAAAGGTTCGACCAATGGCCATGACCTATAAAGGGTAGTAATAAAAATGTAGTGAACTGTATGGGAAACAACAAAAAACAAAGACAAGAGAGTAAGATGATCTGTCCCCAAGGGCTGGGATCCACAGTTTATTCTGCTTACCTCTCCTACACTTTTCATTGAGCTGCCAATTAATCCTGAAGCACCATGGAAACGGTCCAAATCGAAGCGAGGTATCTTGGTCACCATGTAGTCTAGACTGGGCTCAAAGCAGGCAGTGGTTTTCCCTGACACAACATTTTTAATTTCTGGCAGAGGTATTCCCAAAGCAATTTTGGCAGCAATGAAAGCCAGAGGGTAGCTGAAAGAGATATATATTATTATTATAAATGTTCTGTAACTGCAGTTATGGCCTTCAAATCATCAATATCTTACTACCAAGTGTTAACTTACCCAGTGGCTTTGGATGCCAAAGCCGAACTACGGGAGAGTCGAGCATTAACTTCAATGATGACATACTCCAGTGAGGTTGGATGAAGAGCAAACTGTATATTACATTCTCCAACAATACCCAAGTGTCGTACAACTTTGATGGAGGTGGCTCTCAGCATCTGGCACTCCTCATTGGACAAAGTCTGACAGGGAGCCACAACAATAGAGTCCCCTATTCATCAAAGACAAAATCTTAGTTATCTTATAAACCACCAAGCTTGTGTGTGCTTTCTAGAAACACAAGGTGAGGCTTGGGATACCCTACTCATCAAGTCTCTAAAATAATTACTGTCTGCGTTCCTCAAAGAAGTCAATTTGATTTATATCTGCATTGGAAAATAACATCTGTAAAGGGAAGGAGGAATCTAGTAGTCGTTAGATAACAATGACAGTTCCAATTTCAGATACTTTAGAAATTAGGGTACTATTTGTAGCATTAAATGATTAACAAGAGCGCACAACAGGGCAGATGAAGAACCTATATAACATACGCAGAAATTATATTAGGGATTGAACATTTGGTATAAACATCTCAATTGATTCATTCATTTACTTCAACAAAGAGTTCATTCTAAGTAGTTTTTACCTTTCATACACACATGTATTGCTATAATTTGGATAATATTTTTTCAGAATTTTACGGTTAGGATAAAGGGCTACTGTATATTATTATTTGAAAGGAATTGGGTTTAAAGACCAGATTACGTTTGTTTGAGGTATTAGTTTAAGGTTAAGGATTAAAGAGACCCTGTCAGGTTTAGAGATTGGGCCAGATAACAAATGTTTGAGAGGCTAGTTTAAGGTTACCGGTTAACGAGACACTGTCACTTTGTCCATTTAGGGCAAGGTGAAAGTGTCCACTGATAGACCCCTCCTCCCCATCCCGGCAAGGCATCCTCACTCATTTACATTCCATGCCACCTTCCCTCTTTCAGTCAACCCTGAAGAGTCAACCCTAGATAAGCGCTAGAGCAACAGAGGAAGGGTGCTAAAGGAGTGGGAATGGACCAGAGAAGAAGTGTGGATTGGTGAATATACCTTCCTGTTGCGGTGGGCTTTCAGAAGAGACAGTGGGGTTGATTTACTAAAGTCAAATAGGCCGTTCACATTGCAAGGGAATTTGCACTTACCAGGGGAAGTTTGCCATTAGTTTAGTGAATAAGGGGAAGCTCTGCTGATTTCCATCACCCAATCATGTTCATGAAAAAATGCTGTTTTTTTTTTTATTTTCTTTGCACATGATTGGGTATTCTTTACAGAAGTGAAGTTTCACCAGATTCACTAAGCTAAGGGAAAGGTCCCCTGCAAAGTGCAAATTCCCTTGAACAGCCTATTTGCCTTTAATAAATCATCCCAGGGTCTCTTTACATGTAAGGGATTATTTTAGGTTTAGGATTGTAGATTACATTTACAATAGTGGCAGTTCATGCATTTCTCGGGTGTGAGCATATTTAGTGTAGGCTTACATATTAAATATGTGTGTTTCCTCTTTATTTAGGTGCACTAACTTTGCCCAAGTCTGACACTTTGGGGCGATTTACTAAACAACTAGTGAATATTCACTTTGCAAAGTAAATGTTTGCTAACCTATTGAATAGGGTGAAGCTGTGTTCACTTGGAACACCCAAGCAGGTGCAAGGCATATTAAAACAACTGGATTTTTCCTTGCACTCGATGGGAAAATTGAAGTAAACAGTGCTTCACTATCTGCATGGAGTTTGCATGCCCTCCCTGTGCTCGCATAGCTTTCCTCTGGGAACTCGTGTTTCTTTGCACACGCCAAAGACATGCTGGTAGCTTAAATGGCTGCTGTCTAAATTGGCCCTTGTATGTATATGGATGTGATATAGGAACTTTAGAGAATAAGATCCTGGAGTACTAGCACTCATGAGAATGTGCACTATGTAAAGCGCTGTGTAAATTGTCAGCACTATATAAATATCAATAATAAGTAAGGTAGCATTTACACTGAAAAGTGAAAATCATCTGCTCCTTTAGTATATCATTCCCTTAAGCTAAAGTGTTGAGGAAAAATTGTGCATTTCAAATGCCTGACTTCACATACTGTACACTCTGTAGCAGGGTGACATGCAGGTTAATTTACTAAACAAGTAGAAAATGTTAATTTTGCAAGATAAATGTGCACTTAGCTTAGTGAATAAAGTGAAGTTGTGTTCACTTTGCTGAACGGAAATTCTCAAGCACAGTGCGTGAGGTTAGACACATGACAACCCAGCCATTGTCAGACATCATGTGACCTCTGACCCTCAGCAACAACAGCCTTTTATTGCCATTTTCAGACATAGTTTGGGAGATCCTCAACTTCACTTTTAAATAAATCTCACTGATGGCGTTTCAAATAAAATACATTCTCAGTACAAGATGTATGCTTTTTCACATAAGGATAATACTTACCTGTGTGGACCCCCATAGCATCAACATTTTCCATGTTGCACACGGTAACACAGTTATCTGCTGCATCTCTGACTACTTCATACTCAATCTCTTTCCAGCCTACAACTGAACGTTCCACCAAGATCTGATTGGTCATTGCCAAAGCCTTTAAAATAAAAATATAATTGTCAGGGTTGAAATTTTACAAAGTGTAAAATTTTGTATGCACACAAATTATTATATAACTCAAATACTCGAAAGAAGATAAACACTCTGTATAACATTAAAGTCTATGATGGGAATTTATGAAAACTGGAGCAGAGAGAATCCAGAGCAGTTGTAAGTAGCAGCCAATCAGCTTCTCTCTTCATTCAGGTAAGCTTTGAAAATGAAAGATAGAAGCCGATTGGTTGCCATGGGCAAGTGCTCCAGATTCTGTTGCTCAAGTTTTGAAAAATTCTCTTCTATACATTTTATTATAATTCTAAAATAAATATTGGACAGAAAAAAAACACAATAGTCTATCTGCTGCAAGGATGGCATATGTTAGCAAACTGTGATTTGTCTTAAGTTTTTAATGATGCCTAAACATATATTTGATGATCTGCAGCCTTCATATAGCCTATCTTACACAAACAAAATAAATACATGTAAAGTCTTGTTATTAAAGGTAGATATCATAGCCCATTTCGTGTGCACCTTACTGTATAACTGGTGACAAATTGTTGAGTGCGTTTGTCATTTGTTTTGCTTGACCTGTGTTCATTGGGTCGCCGCATGCCTTCCCCTTTTAAAGGTTTTTTTGCTTTACCACGCAGTCGCGCCTATTATGTGTTCTGGTGCAGTAGGTGGATTGCGTTGCCATTCATTTGAATGGCACTCCAAACACACCTCCCGCACACAGTTCAATTACCCGCACCAGAATGACCAGTACCGCAATGGCGTGCCTTCCATTGCAGTGCGATGTGGGTCCTGAGGTTACACAGGTTGAGAACCACTGATTTAGGTCACACCAGACAGAAATTTATAAGAAGTGATACTTGATTTACAGATTTGACTTGCATTATTGATCTATATTTTTTTTGCTGTATTTCATATACACATTTATAGATTCTCCTTCTAGGCGCTCTAAAAAAGGTGCCCAAAAGGTTTCTTTTCACCTTTTAAAAAAAAAAAAACAGCTGAGATTACAAGATACATCACCTAGAGAGTGTATTGTTTTCAATCTTGCAGTGAGAAATGAGACAGAAAACTTCAATCACTATGCTGCATTACTAAGCACACTAACAGGGTTATTCACAAAAGGGTGAAGTGTTTGGAGAAGACAGGAGAAGTGAATAATTTAGGACAACATAGCTGATTGGAAAAATTCTCCAATTCAGCTCACTTTCCAGGTCAGCTATGTTGTCCTAGATTGCTCACTTCTCCTGCCTTCTCCAAACTCTTCACCCTTTTGTGAATAGCCCTGTAAGTCACCGCAGCATATATGTGCATTATATTGTTTTAAACTATCTAAGGTCCCGTTCACACCAGGGCGGGACCTTAGATAGGGACAAATCCGCGCTGATCCGCCGATATGAACAATTCAATACATTCCTCTGGGGACCATTCGTGCAATCGCGTGCCTCTGCGCGACCGAACCGCCTGCCTCCCAAAATGCTGCCTGATTTCATGCTGATCAGTGCGTTTTCCATATAGATTTCAAGCACGTTTGGGGCGTTTTTAATTGTGTTTCAGCACTGAAACGTGATTAAAAAACGCCCAAAAACGTCCTTTCAAAAATTGCGCGAAATACGCGCTGAAACGCTTCCGCCCTGGTGTAAATGGGGCCTAAGTCCACTGATAAACCTGAACTGAAAGAAAAGCATAGAACGGGAAAATGCAATTACTGTGCTGTTTGCTAAGCAGGAAGCACAGGATATACAACAAGCAAACGTGGTTATCTCTTTGTTCATAAAAACAAAAAGTTATAGTTAAAATATTTTGTATGACGTAGGAATTCCAAAACTTTAGAAATGTCACCACAGCAAAATCATTCAATTGGACAAATGTTCTGGTGACAACTGTCTTAGATGATTTCCTCTCACTTTAGACAGATTTTCTCTCGCTCCCTGTTGTGTTTCCAGGACAGGAAGTGAAAGGAAATCTCCCGAGTGTGGTATGGATGACAAAAAAAAGAAAAAGTGTTTAACTTTACCAGACTTTATTCAAAGCTAAAACTTTTGACTATACATGCACTTTAACTTAATTTAAAGACTTTAGCAGTTCTTAGCCGTGGAACAAATTTTATCCCACTGTATTTTTGTAGTTCTTTTAGCCTGAATATCTGCAGTCAGCATTAGTGCATTGGTCCTTAAATTCAGTACACTGAGTGCTTGCGATTTATTGTAGTTTAGAAGATGTGAATGGACACCTTGCCAGTTATTTTTCCTGCTCTAAAAATCCTAGTAATTTTTACCTTTGTTGCCAGGTCTATAAGTGTTTCCTTATCAGGACAAAGGCCTGACCCCAGACCACCTAAGGCATAAGCTGATCGAATCATGACAGGATAGTTAATTTTATCAGCTGCTTCCAAAGCATCTTTCACCTACAAGAAAAAAGCTTTATTACAAAACATGTAAGGTCAGACAGACAGAGCAGTTAAAATAATGAGGAACATGGTTAAATGAATGTTACATAACAGCCATATATTCATAATACATTTTTTTTATTAGCTTATTTGCAGCACTGATCAGAATAAATGTCACTATCTGACTTCTTTCACTGACTGTTGAGTGACCCAATTGCATCCACATCATAAATGATATGACCCTGTATAGCATCATCCTGTATAAATACTTAACACTTGGCTGACCACAAGAAACAAAATCTATCTTTTAATACAGTGGTTCTCAATGTTTATTTTACAAGCTAACCCCTTGGCAATTGTATCCCCTCTCCCAATCTGTATTATACTGCGCCAAGTGGTAGGTGTGTACAAACTGCACAGTTGGAGGAGCTTAATGGGGAGCCTACTCTGCTCTGGGCCACGAGTGCATAATGCACAGAGTGCAGGAGTTAGTAGTAAGTAATGCAGAGAGTGCAGGGGTCAGAAGAAACTAATGCACAGAGTTCAAGGGTCAAGAGTAAGTAATGCACAGAGCCCAGGGCTCAGAAGTAAGTAACACACAGAGTGTAAGGGTCAGGTGTAAGTAATGCCCAGGGGTCAGGAGTAAGTAACGCACAGAGTGTAGAGGTCAGCAGTAAGTAACACACAGAGTGCAGAGGTCAGCAGTAAGTAACGCACAGAGTGCAGAGGCCAAGAGTAAGTAATGCACAGAGTGCAGGGGTCAGGAGTATGTAATGTACGGAAAGCAGGGATCAGAAGCAAGTAATGCACAGAGTACAGGTGTCAGGTGTAAGTAATGAACAGAGTGCAGGGGTCAAGGGTAAAAATGCCTTGATAGGTGGATATCAGTGTAGAGAAGTGTGCTTTCCTGGGCAGACTGTATTTACATGCATATTGCTCTAGGTAACACCCACATGTGATGCTGAACCTTCATGACTAAAAGAACTGAAATCCAAATAATGAAAAGGGCTGGTCAGGGATAGTCAGACTCGGGAGTTAGAATTTAGAAGATGATGGATGTCCTCCAGCCAGGAAATGAGGTGGGCTCTATATGACTTGCTGCAGCTTCTAATGCACACTGTGGGAAGCTTACAGTGTTCAGTGACGTTCAGTAAGCAATCTCAATACAAAAGGAGAGCCCATACAACCATAAAAGACTGAAGGTGAGTCTGGAGTTCAGCTTCCAAACCTACACGTGTGAATGTTTGTTTTAAATACATGAAGCAACATCTCCTATTGGTGAGACATAATATAGTTCACATTCAATATAATTGACATCATTGTTTTCCATGCCATGTGTAGTAATCAGCCTTACCGATTCCACAGCAAAGCTAGGAGCAATGGGTTCATTAATTTCATTCAGCTTGTCGGAGAAGAGCTGCCTGTCTTCTGTAAACATGATGGACTCCACCGAGGTGCCCAAAACTTGCACTCCATATTCCTTGAGTACCCCTCGTTTGAAAAGCTCCACGCCTGCCATAGATTAAATGAGAATCAAATACATAGAAATGTTTGTCTAATTCAAGTCAACAATTATTATTGTAGAATAAACGTTTCTTTTTTTTTTTTTTGATAACAGGTCCTAAGGCATTATGCTTATCAGTATTTAAATTGCTGACGTTTAAAGAATAAGTGATCGGAGAACGTAGTCACATCATTAAAGGCATCTTCTGATTTCTGTAGCTATGCAGTGCTAGCTCAAGGCTCTGTGACTGGGATCAAGTGTGTTCAAGGAATGAGCTGGGCATAGCCAAATTCAGGCAGGGGATGCCTTCTTCTGTAGCCTCAGGATGGTGCTGGTTTGTTGTCTATTTATACCTGCTTTCTTAGATTGCACTGAGAGCAGTGCTCTATGGAAGTCAACATTTTATGGCCCCTAGCTGTTCGGCCCGACTGAGCCGCTCGGCCAAGTTCGGGAGCTGTACGGGCTATTGTGAATTCAGTAGAACCGAAGGGGTCCTGGGGCCGAAGCTAGCCGAAGGATCGGCCGAAGCTACGGCTAGATCCTTCGGCAGCTTCGTGAATAGACCCCATACACTATACCAAAAATGTGAAGCAGCTTAGCAAATTCAGGCAGGGGATGCCTTCTTGTGTAGCTTCAGGATGGAACTGGTTTGTTGTGTATTTATACCTGCTTTCTTAGATTGCACTGAGACCAGTGCTCTATAGAAGTCAACATTTTATGGCCCCTAGCACTAAAGACATTCACTATACCAAAAATGTGAGCAGCATAGCAAATTCAGGCAAGGGATGCCTTCTTTATGTAGCCTCAGAATGGAGCTGGTTTTATCTCTGTTCATACCTGCTTTCTCAGACTGCAATGAGAGCAGTGCTCTATAGAACTTAATATTTTATGGCTCTTAGCACTAAAGGCATTAACTATACCATAAATGTGAAGCAACATAGCTTAGCGCATGTTAAAATCACAACTTTGCACACGTCCTTTCAAAAAATGTACAAGGCATTGTTGATAATAAAACATATCATGAGTGAATCTTTGGCTGCACTCACCGCAGTTCAGAGCAGTCTGACCACCCATTCCCAGGATAATTCCATCAGGTCTTTCTGTCTTAATGACTTCAGTGACAAACTGTGGTGTGATAGGCAGGAAGTAGACTGTGTCAGCTTGCTTGAGGCCCACCTCGTTAGTCTGGACTGAGGCAATGTTGGGGTTCATAAGAACTGTTTTCACATTTTCTTCCTGTGAGGCAAAGATTCCATGACATATGCAACAACAAAACAATAAATTTACAACGAACACCTCTCTTATAGTAATATGCCCACATGTGGAATAGTGTGTTATTTGTCAGTTTTATTCTCAGGCACCCAAAAGAAGCTATTAGGGCCTGTTCACATATGATGCAGTCCGTTTATTTCAACTGCGCAGTTAAAATACATCCCAATGCTTTCCTATGGGCTTTCTTGTGCCTAATTCACACCATTGCAGTCAATTCAACTGCAGTCAGAAAAAGTACTGCTTGTCCTACTTTAACTGCATCAAAACGCATCAAACCTCGTGCAAACGCATTGCTAATGCATCAAACGAAACACATAAAAAAAGAAATAACAGAGATGGAAAGTGTGGATGCTGAAGAATTTATTAGATATGTGCGGGACTGTCCCCTGAACCCGGATTTTGGTGCAATGAACAGGGTACATAAACAGCAATGTGGAGAGTCCATTTATGCTCAATCATATAAATACAAGGTGTGAAAGATATAGGCAAAAAGTTTTTAAAAACCCGCTTTAACAGAGGTTTAAACTTACCTCGTTATCTCTGCGCGTTCCCGCGCCGAGAATCAGGAACTGCTCGTGCAGCCGCAAAGGATCTTGGGGCGGGCGCATGCGCAGTTCGGATTCTCGGCCGGGAGACAAGCAGAGACGCAAGGTAAGTATATGGACGCGTGCACGCGCATGCAGACACAGCGGGATCGGAAGTGCCTGCAGGGACAGAGGAGTTAGCGCTGGATCGGAGACCCGCCACACAGCTGGAGGGACAGATGAAAACATCAGGAAAGAAGAAGATCGGAATAAGAGACATCATTTAAGGTAAGTGCTAACATTTACATGGGGGGAGGGAAAAAAATTTTTGACTTTAATGTCAGCAGTGGTATACTCTTTACAAAGTACTCATA